TGTCCTGCCCCCATTCCCAGCCCTCCTCCTGCCCCACACCCCTTCCAAGCCCCCCCACCTGTCACCCCTCTGCCGTGCCCCAGCTCCCAGCCCTCCCCTGCTGCCCCTTACCCCTTCCTAGCCCCCTGCCCTCACCCATCACTCTTACAGTGAGGCTCTGCACTCTCATTCCCAGCCCTCCCACCCTCACCTGTCACCCCTCACAGCCAGACCACGTCCCCTCCCCTGTTCCCATCCTTCCCCTCTGCTTTCCCACACTGCTTCCTAGCCCCACTGCCCTCACCTGTCACCCTTATAGCCAGGCCCTGCCCCTCATTCCCAGCCCTCCCTCTACTGCCCCACCCCCTCTTCCTGGCCCTCTGCACTCACCCCTGAATTTGCCCAGCCTTTCCCATCTCCCTGATTGCCCTCCCCATGCACCTCCCCTCCCAGCCCTTCTCCTTCTGTCTCTCATCTCTGCACCCACTCAATGTTTACTTACCTCCCCAACTGCCCTCATGCCTGCACCTCCTCGCCCAGCCCTTCCATACCCTTCCTGCAGCCCTCAGCCCTCTACTTCCCCTTCCCCAACTCCTTTTCCTGAACCTTACACTCTGCCCTCGCCTTCCTCCCAGATCTTGCCTGCATCTCACCTTCAGGATCCTCTCTCCTCTTTTGCTGCTTTATTGCAGCTTTCACCACTCTGTACCCCACTTTTCCTCTTCCGAGACTTCACCTCTCAGTTTTCATTATTGACCCTTCACTCAAGGGGCTTGCTATCTCTTCCCAAAGCCCTGCCAGCACCATTTTCTCTAGCGCCCCAGCCCTGCACCCCTCCCCATTGGATTACTGAAATGCAATTGTAAGTAATACAAAAACAACAACAAATGCCAGATCCAGCTGAAGTATGAGGAATGACCACTTCAGTAACCAATGCAGTTTGGGCAACTATGCAAATGGAGAGACCCAGAATAATTAAATGCTCCATTCATAATGTGCTTGAAGAAGTACAAAATGCCATTGGGCTGGACAACAAAATAAGGGGTTTTGTGAGTTTAAAATACCCAATTATCAGTGCTGAATTATTTTTGAAATTATGCAGCCAAAGATATTCTTTGCTGCAAACTCATATTACTGGAGGCTGTCCTTGTGCCAGAACATCACTCTTTGGGACATGGATTCAAAGTTTTGATTGGAAAACAACAGAGATGCTCAGATTGGAAAAAAATATGCTGGCAGCTATTTTAATTGTGAATATGATTTATGAAATTAAAATGAAATTGTAAAAAAATGTGTAAAATGCAGGCCTGGATAAGAAGTTTCTTATAGATGATAGGATTTTAAGAGCACCTATGAAAAGAGAAAGCAAGGAGCTGCAAGAATAGGACTTTGAATTCAATATGGCTCAACTGCTATCCACTTTTGAAATAAAAGCTGACCCACTCAAATGAAATGAACAAAATATCCTAAACTTAACAGTTAGTTTGAAAGACTAATTCCAGCAGGAAGTCTGATGAACACCTGTAAGCATAAAAGTTTGGTAGGAGAATAGAGATGAATTTGCACAAAATCCCTTATCTCAAAAAGGTGGCCAACTAGCTACAAGAAGTTTCAGAGGGGTAGCCGTGTTAGCCTGTAATTGAAAAAACAACTAATAGTCCTGCAGCACCTTAGGGTGCATCTACACAGCAGGGCTTAACACAAAATAAACTACACAAATTGAGCTACACCAATTGCATAGCTTATTTCAAAACAGGGAGTGTCTACACAGCACTTATTTCAAAATAGAGAAGCTGTCCCGCTGCGGGTGGCCTCCGAGGCTTTGCTCCCCGTCTCCCTGGTCTGACCAGCAGACCAAGGAGATGGGGAGCAAAGCCTCGGAGCATGCAAGCACTGGGACAGCCACGGGGACTGCCTGTATATAGGATCTTGTGCAAAAGGGGGTTTTTGCACAAAATGGCCCCATCTACACTGCTTTTTTTGCACAAAAACTTCTTCCACAAATAGGATTGGAAGAGACTATGCAAATGGCAGCATGAGAAATGCTAATGAGCGCTTTATTTGCATTGCCTCTGCCGACAAATTCCTGCAGTCTAGATATAGCCATAAAGATCTTGAAATCAATATGGATGATATTCTGGAAATAGCTGCTCAGTATGTAGTGGTAGTCAAAAACAAACAAACCCCTAATAATGTTAGGAATCATTTGGAAATGAGGCAGAAAATATAATGCTATATCAATCCATGCTTCACTCATATCTTTAATGTTACATGCAATTCTGGTTACTGCATCTCAAAAAATATTATTTCAATTATAATTGAAAAGCTACAGAGATGTGCCACAGCTCAATATGAGAACTATTAAAAAGACTTAGGCTATTCACCTTGGAAAAGAGACATCCAAGGGAGGATAGGATAAAGGCCTATTAAATCATGAATGATGTTGAGAAAGTGAATAAAGAAGAATTATTTACCTAACACAAGAACCAGGTGTCACCTAATGAAATTAATAGGCACCAGGTTTAACACCAACTTAAAGAAATGCTTCTTCACACAATACACAGTCAAACTGTGGAACGCACTGCCAGAGGATTTTGTGAAGGCCAAAGCTATAACGAGGTCCAAAAAAAGAATTAGATAAGTTCATGGAGGAGAGGTCTATCATTGGCTATGTGTAACTAAGTACTGTAGAAATACTTCTTTACACTACTCAAGTACATTTCTTCGGTATTTGTACTTTACTCAAGTAATTTATTTTGTGATACTTCAACTTTTACTCAAGTGGGTTTTTTTAAGAAAATATTGTACTTTTTATTCCATTGCCATTTCCGGAAGCACTTAGGGTATGTCTGCACTACCACCCTAGTTCGAACTAGAGTGGTTAATGTAGGCAGTCTGGGTATCAGGAAGTGCAAGAATAGCAGCCAAAGGGGTTTCTTCTGCCCATATTTGAATACTCCTTGTCATGGGTGTATCTACCCTGCACTGGGCCACTGAGGCCTGACCAATCACTGTGGGCCCAGGAGACCACACTCCCCTCCCTTGCTGCATATGCTCCAGGAGGAGAGAATAGATAAAAGGAGGCAGCCCAGCTCAGTCTGGGCTGATGGAGGAGGAGGAAGGATGGTGTATGCAGGTTTCTGCATAGAGCCAACCAGGGGGTGCTCAATCCACTGCTCTGTCCTCGGCCCCATTCTTATTTCACCCCTTCCCCAACCTCTTCCTCTTCCTCTTCCTGTCTAGATCTGCCCACCAAGTCCTTGCCCCTGCTCCACCCCCCACCTTGCCTCCCTCCACCCCTTCCCCCACCCCTGCCTCACCTCTTCCCTTCCCAGCTTTGCCCCACCTCTTCCCCCAAGCCCCAGCCCCTACTCCATCCCACCTCACCTCCATTCCACCCCTTCCCCCACTCCAGCCACATCTCTTCCTGCCCCCACTCCAACTCCTCTGAGCATGCACCATCTTCACTCCTCCCCTGCCTTTCTGGAGCTTCCTGAATGTCACAAATCAGATGCTCATGGTGATCTGTTAGTT